TCATCGGCCATCAGAGATCTGAGGGTGGATGGGGTCAGGCGGGCATGACGAACAGCCAGGGTACAAGTCTTGGGAGTTCATTCCTGAGCTCTGGAGCAAGATCTCCTGGGACAGGCAGAGCTGCTGAAACATGCCTGTCAACCCTGCAGCCTGCAGCGCGGCCGCCTGGCCCCACATCAGCTCAGATCAGTCTCCTCTGATCTTCCCAGCAGCCCAGGTTTCTGCTCTGAAGTTTCCTGTTTGCTTTGCATTTCCACCTGGAAAGTGTATAACCGTGTGGGAGGGTGTGTTTACGCATGAATCTTTCAAATATATTGCGGATTGCGACTTTATACGCTCTCAAGACATACTTGGACTCATTCAACCACATTCGCTTTGATTATTTAGCTACTGTCACAGGAAGGCCAAACCAGAGCCCTAGGGAAAGGCAAGAAACTTGACCACCATGAGCCCTAACGTTTTGTTGCACATGAGACGCATTTCCAAACCTTTGCTCTAATTCTGGAAAGATTAGAATTTAATTATTTTACTAATCTACCTTTGAAATATGTCTTCAACTCAAAGTCATTAAGGGATGCAGGAGTGGGGGTGGGGTGGCAGGACAGAGGGAAACCAAGAGAAAAGGTCATTTGCTCTAGTAGCCCTGGGGTTCGATTAATTGAGTTCCTACCCTAGCAACTTGTTGGCTGAGTATCTCTGTGTGCTTCAGATTCTTTATCTACACAATGTGGGAAATAATAGAACACATCTCATAGATCAAGTGCTTAGAAGAGCATTACCTGTAGTTTGACTACACATTTTTTGGTCTAATTATGCAGCAAAAGGCATTCAGACAGAGTTTAAAGGCAAATAAAGGTAGAGCAATGAAGCAGCAGTACCCATATTCTATCATTGGTTCCTACAAATCAATAAGAAAATGAATAAAAGGATGTGAACAATTCTCAAAACTATACATAGTAAAAAAAACTATGGAGTAGCACTAAACATAAAAAAATCAGAAACACAATGAAAACATAATCACAACTTTTTCCCTATGCCATTGGCAAAGTGTTTGATAATACCAGGGTTGACCAGTAGACTAAGAAACAGGCTGTACTTAACAATGTTTGTGGGACTAAAAATTACTGTGACTTTTTTCAGGGCTATTAGCAATGTCTTTCCAATTTTAAGATATGCAGATTCATATGCCCAGATCTCTGAATGCTAGAGATCAGAAATATTTGTGCAAATTCATGACAATAATGTTTGTATTTATAGAAGAATTGTTTGCAACAGCAGAAGAAATGGAAAACAATCTAAATATATATCAATAGAGAAATATTTAATTAAAGTTTAGAAACAACTATTAAAAGATTGATCTATATGGTTAAACAGAAATGCAAGTTGCAAAGTGGCTTTATAATTTTATTTTTGAACATTGCATGTTTATTTGTACTTACTGGAAGTGGTAGTGGAATATGTCTCTGCATATTTTTGTCAGAGTACAGAAGGGTCAGAGAAGGGTCAGGGCAGCAGATGTGTGCCAGCTGAAATCTCCAGAACCTTTGTGGTCCATAAACTATGGGTGACTAAATATTTGTCAAAAAGGTACTAGGGAGTGGTGAAAAAAACATGGGCTTTAGCATCCTGTAGATCAGAGCTAAAAGTTCAGCTTTGTACCTCCTTGGTGGAAGGCAGCTGGTAAAGCAGGAGAAGGTGCATAAAGTTCAAAGAAAAAACTGCCCAAACTCTGCCCAGGTGGGAGATGGGTGGGGGTGGGAGGGTCCCACGTGAAGACAATAAAATCTTTGCAGGGAGGTAACTTATTTGCCTACTGGAACCGGGCCAAACTGGTCCCAACCTAATCCCAACATGGGCACCACTGAGCAAAACTAAGAAACGCCCAAAATGCATGGACATGCGCACTGAGAGGGATGGTTGTACAGGTGGACCATCAATCAAATCAACCCACCTTGTCAGTCAAATAGGTGCCTTCCAGCCAGAATGCAATTTATCGGCCTCCTACCTAATGACGGAGGCCATTGTCTGCCTGCAGCTCTGGCTCGCCCTGCCCTTGAAGCATATTCAACTAAAAACTTTCACACAGCTTCACTACTGTGTCTCTGTCTTTCAAATCTTTGTTGTTGCAGGGACAGAACCAGGGAGAACAAACTTAGTCTGTAACGGTTATATGAGATATGGACAATTTTACAGACCTCCATCTTCTCTAATTCCTAACGTGCAGACTTGTCGTAAGAATTAGATAAAATAAAGTTTGTAAATCATCTATTGTACCACGTATTCTCAGTAAACAGCACTATCATTATTTATATGTTGAGATACACACTTACCCTAGTAAAATATTGGGAGAAAAATAATTATTGTTATTATTTTTTTGCTTTTTGGTGGGAATACCAACACCTTGTAGGTAATGTCAGCATAGAATATGCTAATAAAAAAGCTCTAATTGCCAATTTCCTTGGTTTATAATTTAAGAAAAGGAGTGATTTATTACTTAATAGAAATGGTTGATGTAAGAAACTTTTCAAAACTTAAGTTTTGGGGATAAATGACCAATTAGATCTGTGGTACTAAGTACCAAAAGCTGCTCTCAATGGGTTGCATTACAGGGCCTTTCTTAGTCTCCAGAGGATTCCTTGTTAGTGATTTTCACAGGAAGGGAGAAAGGACTTCCCAACTAGAGAGAAACCACCGTTTGGAGTTTTGAATCTGAAAACACACAGGAAAGTGTGCATTTTTTCTTCCTTGATGAAGGTGATGTTAAGATACTAGAAATCCAGACCAAAGGGTCACTTTAGTATTCTCTTGGGATAGAAACCTTTAATACTGAGAATAGTCCATTGTGTATTACCAGGCAGCATTTTTTTTCACATGGAAAATTCTTCCCATATACCCCATCCTCCTCCATTGTTTAGCCTAACATATTCTCTACGTTTTTTTTTCCTCATACACACCACCAAATACTCTTTGATTCAGAAAAAACAATTCGGCAAGAGTGTAAAACTCTAGGTAAAATGAGTTTGAGGTCAGTTTTCGGGGTCCTTGGTTTTTTATATGCAATCTAGCTACATACCCTCTTTGGCTTTGCTTGCTTAACTTACTAGAAACTTGGGCACAATTCTGCTGGTGTTGGCAGTTTTAAGGTATGGATTTGTGTAGGCTATTTACAAGATGCCAAGGGATGTCAAATCTGGAACATGTGTTTTTTCATCCCACGGTCATTCTTTGACAGCAGAAATACTCTGCAGATTATCAGATCCATTCGCCGATATTTAACGTCTTTTTTTTTTTTGTATCCACTATGGGTTTTGGCTGAGATGAATTTTAATGTTTCTTCATGCTGAAACTGACAAAAAAAAATCCTTTAAACATTTAAAGAGAGGAAACTGGAGCTTTATATTTCAATGCAAAGAAAGCCTGTTTCATTTACTTGAAAACATCACAAATGCTTTCATGCCCAAGAAATTCAGCTTCTTATTTTAGTTTTTAAAAGAGCACTTTACAGACATTTCTAAACACTGAGCAGAGCTAATGAAGACATGGCTGTGGCCATTCATTCTCAATTTGTCAGTACTAGCTTTGTAGCTTTGCTCAAGTTACCACGATGGTGCTATGGGCTGATTAGGATTCTCTTGTCCCATAAAATGTTAATATTCTTTTCTAACTAAAACAGTTATTAAGCCAGCTATCATTTTCAGTTCAACATGCAGAGACGTCAAACGTGAGCGAGGATTAGAAGGGAGAGTCTGTTGTTTTCATAGTCTTTCTCATGCTGTTCAGTTTTTGGTTTTCTCTCTTTATCTGGCCTATTTGCTGAGAGAAGCCATGCCACGTCATCCAATCTCATTCCTCCCAGTACATTCCAGTCGCTTTGAAGCTCTCTAACCACCACCATGAGTCTTTCTGAACCAGTCATCCAGGGTGACAGCCTGGGCCTTCCCCACCAGGAGCACACTGTGCAACCATTCCAGATAAGACCACCCTGGGTGCGGTGTCAGCTCAACCCCGTGGCTCTGGGGGCCCAAAACATTCCCTCTGCCTGCTCTTACACTCTATCTCTAGACTCTGACTTCGGAGCCTCAGTCTGCAGCCATTACTCCTGTTCGTCATTGCTGCTGGGGATTATGGCCTTGGCATCATGCATCCCATCTGGCAGGTTAAGGATAAATACCTGAATGAATGAATGAATGAATGAATGAATGAGGTACTGGCAATGTCCTGTCCACCAGTATGAATTTTTGGCCCACTAAAGCCATTGAGGGCTGTTCCCCACAAATGTGTCTCAAACACAAGACTGCCAGACAGTGGCCTTGCTGCTCATTCCCTTCAGTGTCACCCTGCTAAATGCAAACAGTTTCACAGAATAGTGGCAATCAGATGCATTTACACCTTGACCGTGAAGGAATGGGACGGATGCAAGACCCCCTCTATAATCACACCTCCACACGGACACGGGAAGGCTACCTCACCACCACGGTGGCCAACCTCCCCCTCTACTGCTTCCTCGGCAACAGCAACACCTCCCTTTCCTCCTCCCACATAAAAATCAGTACATTCCCCCTGCTTCCTGACAGCATCCAATCCAGACCAGATTCCTTCTTTCTTAAACCTTCCTTAAAATCCTCTAATAAAAGGCCAAGTCCTATCACAAATCTTTTCCTCCTCTGTTTTCCTGGGAAACACTGTGGTTTTCTGTCGCGGATTCTCCTTAATTGCAAAGAGTTAATAAAAGTAACGTTGTGTGTTCGTGGTAGACTTGGCGCCCTGCGCTTCATCACCAACTTAGAGGAAGCTGGATAGGAAGTCAGGTGAGAAGATACTTAAAGAGTTTCTCAGAGATCCAATCAGAAGTGTTCCTGTGATCATCAGGCAGGAATGCACGATGGGGTCCAGATACCCTGAGAGCGAGCCCAGAGGCAAGCCCAGCCCTTCCGCCAGAGCTCAGTGTGTTGTGTGTCTTCCCACTGGCTTGGAGCATTGGTGCCAGGAGCCAGTTACCTGTTTTAATCTCTTTCTTAACTGTTCCTCTCAGAAAGCTTATGGAAGACTAATGAAGATAACCTCGTACCAGCTCACCCTTTACCTGCGTTAGAATTCCCAGGTAAGCAATGAGGGGCAGAGCCGGGATGACTGTTGCTTAAGACAGTGTAATGATGCTTTTGTTTGTGTGCATGTGTCTGTGTATGATTTCTTATGGACAAAGAGATATACTGACTAGAACTATATTTGCTTCACAGATACACTGTTGAATTTACAAATATTGAATGATGAGGCACAGGGACCACAATGTACCTGTGATTTTTTATATTCAAGTGGCACAAGGATATTAAAAAAGCTTTCCGATTTGATTTTAATGGGTTTAGTAATTAGAGTGAAGATGTCATTTAACAACAATTTTAATAATATTAGATTTAAAAAAATCTGTGATTCCCTAACAATATAAAAACAATACAAACATGCTTCCATTTTAATAATTTTCAGATAGAGGCACAATTATTTTGTACAATATCTGCCCCCCCCCCC